TCTAAGGCCGATACCCAAGAGCCGAGGGCCAACGGTGCATTTCGAGCCTCGGGAAACTCGGCCTGTGAACCCGGTTCAAAAGCGCCTCAATCGATGCACCAGCAACACCGGATGCCACAATGGACCGTCTCGTAGCTCAGCTGCCCCGATCTCTCCAACGGACGTGGAAACTGATTGTACTTTCTACTTTCCGTTTAGAATCAAGCTCTAGAGAGACTGCCAGTAGATACGAAGAGAAAGTGAGTTTCGATGATCCTCCTGAGATAACATTGTTGGGGGGACTTTCATTTCGTATGAAAGTGAATGCAGAACAGATTCGTTGGTCGATCTCACCAGATGAGGAGGCATGAATCTCGTTGTACTGCAGCCGTTTGCCTTTTAGACGATATTCATTTTGACATAGTCCACAAGACTTCCTCCCTCGTTTCTGGTGAAAACGGGCTAAGCTTTCGTCCATCATATGATGGACATCATCAGAGCCGGGTTTCATTCCTGTAAAAGTCTCACGTTAACACTAGGGCAAGTAGACTATTCGGCTCTACCTTAATTTTATATAGACTCAATTAAGCCAAAAGAAAAGTAAACACCTAGATAGATAGATATAGAGTGGTTTGGCTAACTGTCTTTCATACTGGTCCTGCTATTTTTGCTCATGTGTGTGTGTATATATGTGTGTGTGTTAACGTCTATACGCAATACCGATCCTAAATCAGAGTTATCAAAAGGCTAATGTCAGGCTCTCATCATCAAAGCTTAATGACCCAAGAGAAAACCCTGATCCAGACTGTGTAAATCTGTAAGCAAGTATAGTTGAGATAATGGGATATGAGCTTGTAAGCATTTAAGTCAAGTTACTAAACCACTTTTCCTAACCTCTCAGTCTAGGGTCATTCACGTTTAACCTTCCAAGTTAAGGCATGACTGGGACTGCGTAATCTCGCACGTTTGGTTTGGTTGATGACCTACGAATCTCTTCTTCATGCAAAATGAAAACCCTCCCAACATTGTATATAGACTCAATATCAAAACTTACCAGCAAATCTTCTCTTTCTATCTCCTGTTCGTCGATTGTGTTAACGAATCGATAGGAATTCATGACTGAAACCTTCCACGTCTCGGAAATTTGTTTTAACCGGTTACAAATAAATCGTGGTGTTTTATGCATCACGCTTTAGTTATTATCCACAATAATTCTAAGTGACACTCCATCTTAATTTATTTGGGGCAGATAATATGCTTTCGGAGGCCCAGCATTTCGTTGAAGAAGCCTGCCCATCTTCCACTTCCCCAGTTCCCCATTAGTTACACCATGCTGCAGACAACCCTTTAGTCTAGATTTAAGGATTCATGCAGGGTTCTTACTGATTACTTTCTATGTGGTAGTGTCATCCAAAACTCATGCTCAACTAATTCATAACTACCATTGCTCATCCTTTATCTGCCCTCAACACCATTTGATCCTCATCGTCCAGTTTTCTTATGATATTTTTCACTCTCTTGTTCTTGGGTGTTATTTCTACATTGCGATCAATTAAAGGAACGACCTTCAATTAAATATCCCTCCTACCCTTTTCTGGTAGATAGATGGTCTAGCTTATGAGTTCCACTGGATTCCCCTCCCGATTATCCTTACTGTTTGGCCAAACAAAGTTAATCCTTTTGAGAGCACTTTCTCGGTGGTAAAGTCTAAGGCTGTTTTGGAGAGATTTACCACTTTCTCCCAAAATATCCTTTGCTCACTACTATCGCGCATAGATGTATTTTGATTAGCCTTAGTGCAGACTTCTATACAAAAATTCCTAAGTTTCTTATCATGTCTGAATCTAACCTGCTGAAAACAATATCATACAATCTGTCCGCCATTCTTTATAATTTAGAGAAAGCTTCCGAGCTAAGAGCGCTTACCAATGAATGGCGTAAAATGGTTTTCCTCGTTATCAAGGAGTGTAATTTTGTAATGCTTTCTTGGGTCATAAAATAAACTAAATCCTGGGATGCTCGCTCAAAGACTCACATAGATCTATTTTGCAAATACATAACCTAGGAACAAATCTACGTGAAAAACATAATTTCAAAAAAAGAATATGGTTGACTTGCTGGGCGAGAGCTTTCTTGGTCTCAGTGCAAAGTGATGATCCTCGAAAGCATTGGTATCCGTACGTAGTACGTAGCTATGTTGCACTTCTGATAACTTTGTCTGGGGAAATGCATTCAAGTGAAGTATTCTTCCCAGTCATCTCAAGGATAAAAAGAAAAAATAATTAATTTTTTCATCTAGATGGAAGTTTATTAAAGGCTTATCAATCAAAATAATAGTTTGTGTCTAACCTGATATTTTCAGTTGAATAACAGCAGATAAAGTGGGTACGTATTACCTCGTAAAATAAATATCCTGCATATTAATTAAACAAGTGCTTTCCGTGTTGTTAGATTGGATAAACTGAGTTATTTTATCAATAATCAATCTAGATTGGGCAGTAGATACGCTTCCGAATAACTACCTTGACAACTTTCGAGGCTAAAGTTCATATATATGTTAAGGATAGAGCAATAAGACTGCACAAAAAATCCCCTTTTTCCATAAATTATGCCTTAAAAATCTATTCATAATCAGGGTAGATGCCCCAAATCTGAATGCTCCATAGAAATATGCGTAGAGGAAAATGCCTTCTTATCCAAACGAATCTCTTGTTTAATATATTTGTTGTGATTACTTTAGTGCTAGAATGTCTGAACAAGAGATTCTTAGATCAATCCCACTATAACGAACCGTCTGTATGAAGTTGTTTAAGTTTTCTAAAAGATTCTGGTCCATCCTAAGACATTGTCATTGCTGCAAAAGCTACAAAAGAAGGCTAACCGGCCCTGCTTTGCGTTCTATATGTATTCAGAAGTATAAACCACAATAAAAAGATATAGGACGAATTGGCCAGTTCTATTTAATGCTAATGAGTTTTTATATTTTTGACTGTTTGATCATACTTTTGTTTGTAAGAGGTTAAGTTAAAGTATAAAACACCAGTCATAACACATTATAATTGCAATAGAGCTAGCTTCGCTCCTGATTTATCAAGGTTTAATAATAATAGTTGTGTTCATTCTATTTCGTTTGAGGTGATTTATGATTGGTAATTGAATTTTCCCACAATGATATGAATAAAGCCTACGTTTCCATTAAATTTCACATAGCCTTGCCTTC